AGGGAATTCGGCTTCGAGCCCCCCCTCCAGGTCCCAAAATTTCGTCGTACACGCCAGCAAATGCGACTTCACTTGCTTGTGCACGTAACATCGGGAACCCACGACTAACGAGATCTCCAGAGTCATCCAGCATCCTAGTGGGAAGTTGAGCACTCCCGTGATACCCGAACTGGTTGAACTGGAACACAACTGCATCGTCCACGATATCCCCAGACTCGTCTTCCTTGCTTTGCATTCCATCGACTAGGAACGTTCTTCTTCTTGGTAAATTGACGGTGTCTAGCTATCAGACAATACAGTTGCGTGTCGTTTGCTACTAAAACGCGGGAATTCCCTCCATTACTGCTAGATTTCAATTGATGGCATACATGTAGACGGCGTATCTACGGGAAGTGGACACCACAACAGCAATTGCTTGAGATCCTCGTCACTGTACATATATTAGAAATCAACATAAAGCGGAAATATCAATAGAAACACACCTGTAGCGACGCACTAAGTAGCAAGGCCCGCATTGGCAACTACAATATTAATCTTTGTTAGTCCAAAAAACTTCTTTTTCAATTTACAAAAAAATAAATTTACTGTCCGGATCGAAGATATCTTCAAGCGCAATTTCCTCCGTGTTGTCCCGCAACGTGGCGAAGGACGAGTCTCGAGTGTAAATGATGTCGAGCAGTACTCCGCGCTTCACAATTTTAGTGACGACAAGCCGAACGCCTGCGTCTGCGAGAGCATTGTTCGTAGTGGGATGAGTCTGTAGCTCAAAGAAGGCTGGAATATTTTTCTCCGTGGCTTCAGCTAGCCACGGGAGTTCTCGTGCTTTAAGTTTCAGTCTCTCGGTCGTGCGAGGCTTTGCCAATTCTTCGACGGAACTCGCCAACTCCCGCATTTGGTACACTGCATCCCGTTGTCCCGAAGTTAAGTCGACCACATCATCTACTTCAGTGAGGGAATGTGAAGTAACGGCAGTAATCGCGGGATATCCCTCAAGTCCACACCGCCTTCATGTCGACGCGAAATACTCTCAAAGAAGTTTTCGGATTGACTTTGATCTTCTTCTCGAACTTGAATATCCTCTGGCATCTCGATAGAGCCGTGGAAATAGTGCTGTCCACTTGCATAGAGTAAAGTCCAGCTTGTTTGTGCAGCCTCTTCCTTGGAATCTTCGTCACATTGTCGACTCTTTCGAGACAGCACGTACATCCTTGCAAAGCCCTTCCCAGCTATGAGTCCGAATTCTTCCGAGTCGTAAGAAGCTAACGACGCGCTGTCGTTGTCATCGTCTGGAATTTCAAGCATATCATCAGTATCCAACGGCATCGCTAGGCATTGATCCTTAAGCTGTATGAAGGGACGGAGCGAAGGAAACGGTTTAGTTTTTTTATCCGAAAAACTCACTAGTGGCGTCTGGAGCGGTAGTAATTGAGGGAATATCATTTTAGATGAGGGAGTTGAGTTGGTAGACGCCTAATAGAAGTCGAAGGGGTTGTGACGCTCTAATTCCTCGGCTGCGATCTCGAGAGCATCGGCTTTAATTGCTGTTAGTAATCATCATACGCAGAATTTTAGCTGCGTCGAAAGACTCGACCTAAGTTTCTTGCTAACGCTACAACGTGAACACATAGTGTTCGAGCACACTTGACAGGATTTCAAGCGACTTGGTGCGTTGGTGTAGACGATACAGTCATTCCCGTGATCGAGAATGACTTTCTTTCTAGTTTTTACAGCCAGTTAAGCTTCTTCATCTGTCCACAAAGCACGATTTTACTGTACGACGAGAGTGCATCTAGTGCTGCCGGTACAGCTACAGACTGATGGATATCGCCCATGGCATCCACGAATCCCTTGACGTACAGTTCGATCTTGCCGGAGGTTTTTTGTCGAAAGAACACGCAGATCGACGCATTTGCGAGTACAATTTGGTACTCTGATTAACTACGGTGAAAGTAGTCGCCTTTACGCACGTTTCTCCTTTTCCACAGTAAACAACGACTGCAGAGAAGACCATGACAAGTGCCATGATAACCAATCCTCCATCAAAGTACCATCGAATCCATCCTGACCTGACATCATCAAGTAGTTCTGCATCAAAATCACGTTACAGTAGTTGTGGGGGAGAATAACGCACTTACGCTTGTACTTGATGCCTTGATCCGGCTCATCCGGACATTCCACCAGCACATGGATGTCTCTGTCTACTTGCTCGAGGTTGTCACCGAAGTATTCATCATTGTTGAGTCTGCACGTCTCGTCCAGTAGCAAGTGCTCTTGCATGAGGTTTTTGATTCGATCTGGATTTTTTTTCGCCTTAACTGCCATAATGTCTGCGTCTCGCGAGTTCAGCCAAGTGTCACCCTCCCGCGCGAGATACAGCTTCAGCAGATCTGCATCAAAGTAGATCAACCCAGACTTCTCCCCCTTATTTTCTCTTTCAGATCACCGACCATCTCGCTGAGCTTATAAAACACAGGGAAGACGCTCCCGACAGTGACTTCACCTTCAAGGGGTCGACATAGATACCGCGCGCAAACAGCATCAAGAACAACTCGCTCAAGACACAGTGTCATAAGGTATTCAG